ATTCCTGCTACTGCTAAATAAAGAAGCAGAGAAGAAGAGACCTGCCCTCCGTAACCCAAGAAAGAAAGAAGAAGAAAAAAGGCCAGTTTGTTTCCCTGTATAACCCTTTCTCTGTCACGTTTGAGTGTAAATGCTTGGTCTGCGCAGCAGGCATGCATCATATGTAACAGCCAGGGCTGGTGAAACAGCATGTTCTCAGTGAGCGCAGAGGGCATTTTGCAGCATTTTCCTTATAGCCCTAAATCTTCCTTCCCCGTCCTCTTGCAGATCCCTACGATTTCCCCAGGAAGTCGGTAGGAGCCGGTCACTGAACAACTACTGGCTTCCAGGGGTGCCGTTCCTTGGTGACCTTCAGAGTGTATCGTTTCAGGCTGGGGCAGTGCGTGAGGAACGCTTCTACCACCTCCTGGCTGACCACACAGTAGCAGTGGATCTCCAACAGATTTCTGCACTGCCTAGCCAGATCTACTAGCGAGGAATTTAAGTCCTCCGAGGACGTGGTTTGCAGCGTCAGCTTCTTTAAAGTACTGCTGTAGCTCTGGGTCACAAACCTAATCTGATTTACCATGTAATTATAGGTATTAAGTTGCAGCGTGCTCACAGGTATATTCAGCTTCAGGATCCATGGTATTTTGCAGGCAGGGACCGTATGATCAAACTCGAGGTCTACACAGAGTTGAGGATGCTTTTGACTTACAGCAGCCCAGAGCTCTTCTGAGATGACTGGTATATATTTGTCCAGGCGCTCACAGAAAATGTCTAAATGGGTGAAAGCTGCTCTTTCGGGCTTGAGCAGTTCCTGAAATACATCGTCAGACAAACTGGCATAGTAAACCCCCAAGGCTGAGAGTTTGGGACATGCTCTGAGAACTTTCCTAACGGTGTCTGGTGCCACGTTGCATACCAGGGTGCGGTTGTTGATGAACAAACTGTGCAGGTTTGGGTTGGTGGTAGCTACGAGTTCAACAAGCTCATCATTGAGAGTGAAGGGCATTTGTCGAAAATCAATATGCTGAAGGTCTATCTGGTTTTCAGTGTTGCAGATATTCCGTATGCTCTGTAGGATGTCCTGGCCAGAGTAGAAATAGGGGTTCTCCCCGTGGCACGCAATGCACAGCTGCTGCAGTTTGTGGTTCTGTTTTGCCAACACATCCAAGACGCGTGTCACATTCTTCCGGTTGACCTCCTTGGACTGGTCAAACACAATCTTCAGGTGTTTGATTTGGCTGAGGAACTGGAGCAGGCTCTGCAGCATGCCTTCCTCATCCTCCGAATCACAGCTGGAAGGGTAAAACAAACTCTTAGTCACTGTGAACGCTGAGCTGAGCAACCACAGAGCAGACACTCTCCTTTACTAGTCTTTCTGCAAACATCAACAGATTCCCCAGACGTTCCTTCTCACTCGATGCCTGGAGAGTCACTGTAAGGCCCAACACTGAAGGAGCCAGGAGGTGAGAGGTGAGTCCCCAGAAAGACTCATCAGAGAAGTAAGTGCCGTGATGAAGTCGACTAGTTAGTAACTGTCTCTTGCTGTTTTCAAACGGCAGCTTAGAGCAATACTTCCCATAAACCCCAAATCCTCAGCAGCAATTAAAAAAACCCAGCATATAACACAACTTTCTCTATTACATAAAAAGGTGCTAGTCATGTAAGATATCCTCATCGCGCACAGAACTCACAATTCATGTCAATAATGTCACAGGAGGGTGGTGTGTTTGACAGGCACCGAAAACATCATGGTCTCGTTATGCCTGCAGAGACGCTCGGACATGAGAAACCCCTTCCTCGTACCTGATCTCTGTGAAATGCCAGACAGAGCTAGAAGAAACGGCTGTAGCCCACTGCCTGCACACCTGGAAGACCGCGTATCTATCTCGAAGAGAAAGGTAATAGAAAATTTGGATGAGGATTTCCTCTGGGATGTAGGTCCACAGTTCTGGAACCGGAGCAGGCATTTTGCTGATTCAGTCGGGTTTAAAAATGGGAAAAACTTCCAAAACTGCAATTAATTCTCAAAAGTTCCTGTTCAGAAAAATGAACAAAACAAAAAATGACACACACACATTAGGATTTATTTAGCAAATCAAACCAATGCAACTGGATCACAGAGGAGGTCAAAATTTTTTCAAACTTGAAATTTCACCAGATTTTGAAATTGAACACACAAGTGAGGAAAATCTGTTGGCCAATTGTTTCGCACAGTTTTTTCAATCAATCCTAAGACGACGGGTGATACTTTTCAAGAGTTAAAGATGCCAGATCAAAGCAGGGGGGAGGGGGTGAGGGGGGGAAAGCCTTTTTTTCCTGCAGTGAGGTTTTGCTACTCTGAGTAATAAAAATGTGAGGGAATTTTCTAGTACTGCTGCACCGGTATTCAAAAAGCTGAGACAGATTTCTCAAACTGTGGGGGGGAAAAAACCTCTTTGCAAGCAGAAGCTCTGCACAGAAAACAGCCTCGCATACCCATTTTTTACTGATAGTGAAACAGAAGGGCTATAGCAGAAACCGGTAGCTTAATTACAGTGGTCCTTGATGAGATGTGACAGTTTGAAAAAAGTGTTTTATTACTGTGACTCCGGTTCTGAGAAATTGCATTTATACATGTCTGACTGAGAAATGGAAAAGCCTATTTTGATTATTTTGTCCCTGCCCACGGCAGGGGGGCTGGACCAGATGACCTTTAGAGGTCCCTTCCAACACCAGCTACCCTGTGATTCACCTTTCACGCGAACTATAATGCAAAAGAAGAAGTGCCTGGGGAGAAGGCTGAGGTTCGTAGCATCAGACCATTACCTAACTTTTTCATTCATCTTCTTCCGACGTGTGCTGCACCCAGCTTCTAGATTTCGGCACAAATAAAACTACCAACATGACATATTTTTTCGACCTTCCCATAAACAAGTGAGGGAATTTTCAATGCAAACATTCCCCTTCCTAGGCTAGCACTGGAGCACGGGCCAAGCTGCAGTCTCACTCTGAATTCCATGGCATGCCCTCTTGCTTTTGAAGCCCCAGGTCCTGGAGTCACAGCATTATCTCAGCATCGCAGGTTTCGCTTATGTGAAAACCTATGCTTCTAGATATCCTCAAAGTAGGGAAAAGAGTTGAAAAACATGAAGCAAGTACAGAGGAGCGATGCAAAAAGCATAATGCAGAGAGGAACACAATTGCACATTTTTCTAGAATACGCTGCTTTGAAGTGTGACTCATTATTTTGAGTGCAAGGTGGCAGCAGCATAGCAGCTATACTATCTTATCTACCATCGTATCAGTGACAACCCCTTTTCCACCCACCGCCGCGCTAGAACAGCCAAGTGATACAGTCCTGCTTCCTTCCTGGGAACTTGCTATCTTTTGTCATTTTCTCTGACAATCACCTTGACAGCTCGGATCCTGCTCTTCTACTTTTAGCTGCTTTTAATACCGTCTCTAATACACGTTTGCCAAAATGTTAAACTGCTCTTTGCCCTACATGAAGTCTTACGTGTTCAGCTCCTTTCGTTTTCATTATATTTTTCCTTAAAGCCCTTGGAGTCATGTGAAAAGGACCTTGAATCTCTCAGAAAGTAAGAGTGCATTTCTAGCGGTGGTGATTGCTTGGAAAAGCTTAAAAATATGGCCTGAGGGCAGAAAGGCAGGCAGAAAGGCAAAATTATCCGTGTTACTTTAAGTAATTGCATGGCTTTGAGTCAGCGAGGGGTACGGTTCAGGGTCTATGAACGCTGCGGGTTGGTTTGGGTCTACTCGGGTGCCTGTCCCGGTGAGGAGAGCCGGGTCCGGACCGCATCTCGTGAGCCATCAAGGATCTCCGCGCTTTATTAACCACATGATGGAGGAGCGCTGGTTGTTGCTGCTCCTCAGCACAGCAGGCCCCAAGGAAGCCAGGCAGACGCTGGCTGGGAGAGAGCGGCCAGCAGCCCCCCCCCGCCACGGCACCCCCTCCAGCCCCACATAGGCCCCGCCAGGCAGTCTGGGAAGGGGCGCAGCGTACCTCTCGGAGCAGAGTCCGTCTTCCTCTGCGCTCCCTGCCTGCGGCTCCCAGCGTGGGCTGCGCCCCAGAGGGAGGAGCGGAGGAGGAGATGCCAAAAATAACAGCCGAGAGAGAGGCGCCTTCCCTGCGCACGGGCTGGGAGCCGGGATGCTGCGCTGTCGGTTATGGGAACACACAGATTAATAGCCCCATCTTCCTCCTCCTTCAGCACCCGTCCCCCAACACCCCGCTTCCCTGCAGGGCCCCAGCACTGATCCTTCCCGCACTGCAGCCGGCCAGCAGTTGCCAGGCTCAGGGGGAGCCTGCGGTCCCCCAGCCGCGCATCCCCCAAGCAGGCACGCCACTGAATCCCGACACCCAGATCTTGTGCCGGCTGAGCCCCCTGAGCCGCAGCCTCTCCCCTCACAGGCATCTTTACTTCCCAAGCGGGAAACAACAGGGCGAAACTCCGAGTGCTTATCAAGCACTTTGATTTCGCCACGCAGCATGCTCCCTGAAAGCACGCACTCAGCAAGGGTTAGTGGAAGAGAAACTCGGGTCTCAGCTACCCTTTCCTTTTTTATCCCCTCAACGTACAGCGAACAGATTAGCTTCAAGGAGAAATGTTTATGGGACACGGGTGGGTGATGGTCCCCACAGCAGCTCCCCTGTGGTTCCGCCCTGGCTTGTCTTTTGCAGGGGAAGGTTGGGATGTTCCGGCTCATTTAACCCCATTAACCCTTAAATGCATGAACTTACGAGTTGCTTCTCAAACAGTCAGCAAGTAAACGCCTGGTTTCCAGAAGCGCTGGCACCACCAGGCCACTGACCCTCAAGGGGACTGCAGTTGCTGCCGGACCCTGTAAAGGAGAGCACCCAGCAGAGCCAGCCTGGATTAACCCCTTCAGGGATTTATTTCAATTATATTTTTCCTTTGGCAAACAAATTCGCTTATATTGTTAAAATGCTGTTGTTGTAAAATAGCATTAAATATATATTTTTTAATATATATATGTATATATAAAAAAATCTTTTATAATGCTTTCCACTTTTGTTTGAAGTTCAGTTCCCCGGGGAGTTTGTGCAAACCAACTGCCAAGCCAGAGTGACGGCAGCTAGCATGTGGGCACGAAAATCTGGCCCCAGGCCCACGCCAGCTGGGGACAAGCGAGGGAGCGGCTGTTACCCCTCTGCTCCCGGGCGGACATCTACGCAAGACAAACGCAGCCTGGGCAGGAGGTTCCCACCTGAGCTTGAGCAACGGAGACCCCAATCCAGCTCCTTGGCTTTGCTTGCCACAGAACCCCTCGTGGGCTCAGGAAAAGCTGCTTTACGCTCTCTACCTGTCTGTTCAGTTCGTCAGAGGAGCACAGCGGAGTTAACAGGCTCGCCTGGCCCAGAAAGAGGCGGGAGACCGTTCGGGTATCACTGCAGGAAGGGCTAAACCAGAATGCCCAGCAGAATTCAGCAGCTATATTGACACCATCATCTTACCTCTCCTGTAGGAGATGCGAGGACCAGCCGATGCGTCCCTACCTGCCTGCCGAGCCTGCTGGATTTGCCTGGAGAAGGGAACTCCACATCATTAATCCCTCTCCCCTCCTGAGCAAACGGACGCCCCTGGATGCTGTTACAGATGCTGCAGTTACTGCGTTCCACAACTAAATTATCCTAGGACACCTTTTCAAAATGAGCTCCAGAGAAGGGGGGACGTGAGAGCCGAACCTCCTCCGCTGCTCAGTAATTACTAACCCAATCAACCTTCGTTTCCACCGTTCACTCTCGTTAGCAGCGTCACGGGGGAAAGCTGAAGAGTGCCAGCCAGGATCCATCAGCCTTGCGGTGCTGTCAGCCACAAACTACATGCAGGGGGTTAAAGCAACCCCGCTTTCCTCCACCCCTAACGGACCAGGGGCACGCGCCCAGTCCCAGCCGGCGGGCAGCTCCTAAGCTATCCCAACAGAGTAATTTCTCACCCTCTTACACATCCTCACCTACACGTGTGACCAAGTGACCGAAGCTGGGTGGGCATTCGGCTGCTGCCAGAGCCACCCGCCGCGCTGTGGCCTGGAGACCCGGAGGCACCAAGGCACGGCAAGAACCGTTCAGGCCTCCTCAGCAAACGGCATCCGTCCCTGTCGGCTGGCCTCGCTGCCGGCTTCGGATGGAAGTAACGCAGGCTGAAATCCTGCTCTCGGGGCTGTTCTTTGGGACAGTACAAGAAAAACGAAGATTTTCACGGAAAGTGGAATACCCCTTGCATTTCAGTGGGGTTTTGTTGTTTTTTTTTTCCGCTTCTCTGTTAACCCGCCTCGGCCCGCACCCAGCCCGCTCCCCGAGCGGGG